AGCGATGTTCGATAGTATGCTCTTAAACATGCCGCCCTTTCTGAGGTAATCTCAGCTCCAATCGCAGTGTGTGATTTCTGCCCTGGCTGCGTTAGCTAAACCTCTCTACATATGATGCAATGGCTTTCTGCAGCTTCAATCTGTATGTGTTGGCCGATTTTTGCTAATACAATGTTGATTTTGTTATTTTTCTGTACATAGCTTCCAGAAACAAATGTACATAAAACATGGCTGTTATTTTTTTATTATTTAATGTTGGACGTGTCGAGTACATTCAATATTGTTCTATGATTGTATGTTGACAAATTGACAGTTTTAAAAGTTAAATTCTTTTGGAATAAAATTAACATGTCTACTTTATTTGAATTTTCGTTGTGTACATTTTTGATTTATTTTTTATAACATTTGCCCATATTTATTTTTTTTATAAAAAAAAACATTTAATAAAGATCCTTTTAATTCAAGTTATTCAATAACTGTGAGGCAGATATGTAATAAGCATTTTACACATGGAAAAAAAATTGTTTTACAAATATGTGGTCGAAAAGCACTGGGTACTACACTTCCCATAATGCAACTCAAAGGTGTTCCCTAACTGGTAGCACATACCATTCTTGTCCATTCTTTTTTATCTAGCAACCGAAATGTACGTTGCTTTATTCATCTTTTATACTATTTTTATTTTACTAGTACCTTTTTTTGGCGGTGCACTTTGGAATATACATTAAAAGGTGCTTTACAAATCAAATGTTTTTAAAAAGGCCATGCCGAGATGACCCTGATGACATCACTATCATTGGGTTTATTATTCTTTCTAACTCACTGGACTGGTACTTTCCATGATAAATAATCTGTGCTTTATGTATAACATTTCTTCAAATCAGCCAGTTGGTTTCATCTGGAAAAAAATGTTTATTGAATAAAGAAAAGCAAAACCAGGACACTTTCTCAAAAATGAAAAACACTGACTCTTTAAAACCTTTGGTGAAGATCCAGCTGTTCTCAAGAAAATCACAGAGCCATGGCTACCTGGCAGTAAACAGGAGTCAGCTGACACCTTTCTTTCCTTTATCTTTATATATTTGTTTAAAACAAACTGCCCGTTCATACAGTTAGACAGAAAAGACACTTTTTGTACACCATCTTCAACTGGATCCCGACGACAATAAAAAAAAGAATGATCTAAAGTCATTAAATGCTGACACCGGGGCTAAAACTATATTTTATATGAGATTGATAAAAAGAAAGCCAAACCAGCCTGATGTACAAAAAGTGCTGACATATAAAACATCCGCTTCTGTCCTTTTTACCGACTTTCATTTGGGTCATTTTAAACTTTTTAGTGTTCATTTAAATTGCGAAAACATCATGCCTTGAGGAGTTAGTATTTACACAGACAGCGAAATAATCTTTCACTTTTAGAGAACTTGTGTCATTTGGCAATAAAAATGAGACCAGGCCTATGAAGGATAATGACACTAAAAGTATTTCTTTTTTTGATAAAATACATAAAAACACACATCAAATGAAAACACCTCAGAACAGAAGCCACACACCTTATATAACACAGCTGAAATAGCTCTGCTTGCCAGTTATACCTTCAAAAAGAATCTAAACACAGAGATTCGAGTATGTTTGTATTTGTATTAACAACTCCGCCACAGTTTCACTGCGTGCTCAATCTCTCCGCAGGTTATTCAGCCGCTCCTCCAGGTCGGCGTCTGCGTCTGCGAGGGCGGCCTGAGGCTCGACCTTCTTTCCTCCGGCCACCGACAAGCTTCCTCCGGTGCTCGGAAGATCTGAAATAAACACAAAGGGGATCTAATGAGACCAAACGATGCAAATGTAGAATTGAAATAATTGTGCTCAGTGTTGCGTTTTCTTACTTGACAGTTCATCGGACACATTCAGACCCAGCTCGTCCAGCACCTGGGACACGATGGCGTCACTGTACACAATAACAAATGTATTCAAGTAAATGCAAAACATATATTGGGTTACTATTATCCAAATATGGAGGCTGAATAAAGAAGTAATTAAGTGGGAGTTTGAGGTAAACAGGCATTCTACTTGAATTGTTGTGATTAACTGATTTTAATTCGCTTATTTCTTCTTTTTGGAGAGACTACTGTTGGAAAAATCAGCTGAAAAGATTAAACTCAAGAAAAATACTGTCGTACTTTCTATCATTCCTTTGGTAAGAACTTGTTTGTAATAATTGATAGTTCTACTTCGAGTGAAATGTGCATATTTGCTATTACCATTCAGAACACAAATGTGGAAAGAAAGTCCCTCACCTCTCGTCTTCATCATCCTCATCCCCCATGGCATCATCGATAGCGTCATTCATCATCTCCTCCTTCATGTCCATGATCTCACTCTGCTTTTCAAACTCCATCATGATCTTCTGGATCTGGGGCAGTTTCAGCTGTGAACGTGGAATACATAGGAGATGGTCAACATCAGTTTGTTATTGTTTATTTCTATTGAATGATTGAAGTGTGTTTGAGGGGCGGACCTGTCTGTTCATGGTGGCCATGGCTTTGGTGACGCCTTTCATAGCCTGCGCCATGCTGTTGTTGGATTTGAGCGTCTGTATCTTCAGACTGACGGCCTGAATGTTGGCTTTCATCATGATGAACTTCTTGACGTAGCGCCGTGTGCGGACCAAATCCTTAGCCATGATCTTGACGGCGTCCTGCAAAGATTAAAATAACACTCATCACTGGGGCTGTACTGCATGTCATTTTTTATCTTTTAAAACTAACAGAGGTTTTCTAATGCAGCTTTGTATATCTGTTATCAAAGTTTCTGTCTTCGTCTATTCTCATCATCCTGAAGAAAATCCCTGGTTTGACAAAGTGCTTGATATTTTGTCTTTATTTGATTAAATTAACTTACTTTAATAAATAGCAATCATTGGTAAGTGCCTCCCAAGCAGGAAAGAAAACTGTTTTTTACTTTTAGAATTTGTATTTGGAATACACATTAAAAAGGTGCTTCACAAATAAAATGTTTTTAAAAAGGCCATGCCGAGATGACATCACTATGACTCACCACCTCACCACTAGGTTTATTATTCTTTCTAACTCACTGGACTGGTACTTTCCATGATAAATAACCTGAGCTTTATGTATAACATTTCTTCAAATCAACCAGTTGGTTTCATCTGGAATAAAAATGTTTTTAGTAAAAACATTGTTTTTGGAGAGACTTAATACTAACAAATGTGGATTGAAGCAGAATACTTGTTAGATAGAAACATGTTGTGAATTTTGGAAGTGATACCATCTATTTTATTTCAATAAATGATGACTTTTGGACTTTTGAGTTATTTGTTAGAATTGAAGCTACAAACAGAGTTTGGGTACTTTTTCTCTTTTCTCACCATTTGTCCCTGTTTGGCCATTTTCTTAATGTCAGCGATGATCTTCTTCTCCTGCTGCTCCAGTTTCTGTCGCTCTCGGTCCAGTTCTCTCATGGCTCTGTTGAGCGCCCTCTGATTCTGCCTCAGCATCTCCTCCGGGGTTTTCCTCTTTCCAAACAGGAAGTCCATCTGTTTGGAAATACCAAAGGCAGAAGGTCGAAACAGTCAAGCTCAGTATATAATGTTAAAAAACTCAATTCAAGATATTAATGACACCAGTGCTGACATGATTAGAAAATTAATCAATTAGTAAATAGTCAGAAAATGTTGCTCCTGTGACAACCTTTTCTCTTGCTTTTCTTTATTATAAAAAAAGTTGTCAAAACAAGGTTTGTGTGAGTAAAATGTACACAGTCAAACTGGTCCAACTATTGTTTTGTTGTTTTTTACAAATCAAATATTTAATACTTTTCTGATTATATTGACATACCTTGACTAAAGTAAACATTTCTAAAGTAGGATTTTTTTAAAGTATTTATTTACTTATTTTACACATGTTCAGTCTTTCTTACTGTAGATCATCTGAATAATTGTTTCACCACTACTGACAGATTAGAGAGGTCAAATCTAGTGAAACCAAATCATTCAACAAATTCCATACAAATACATTTGTTTCTGTTTGACTGGTGTTTACCTTCTGTGCTATGCTTCATCCAACCATACTTTTTAACACACATTAAATCAGTCAGTTTCAGCTATGTCAGTCTTCATATAAAGTCAATGGTCCACCCGGTGACCTGTTGTTTCCTTGAAAACATTACTCAGCAGTTAGTAATGTGACTAGAGGCCCGAGGTTTCCGAAGCCGTGTATTCGATTCCAAAACTGCCTCAACATCTTACACCAACGGTTAGTCCTACAACTAAATACCAAACAAAGCTTTACAAAATCCAGACCCATTATAATGTTAGTCTCACCGTTTCGTCTAAAGCCGGTAATCCGGAAGGTTAAACGGTGTTTAAGGCGTTTTCTCCGACTTCAACTCGCCACAATTTTGAACGATTATTTGTTTTCTTTCCTTCACTTCCGTGTTACGATAGTTTCCGGGAAGTGACGTGTGACGCACTTTAGAGACTTTAAAAACAGACGTCGGTTTCTTTGCCGAGGTGTCAAGGTCACGCGGCAGAGAGAGAAAAACAACATTTCAAAATAAAATCCTTCGTCTTTTTAATTTGGGATTGGGATGTTTTTATTTACTTTTATGTACTTGTTACGGTTGCTGTTGAATGCTTTCTGTGTTTGAAACACAGACAAAACAAAAGCCTACTGGTAGTGGTAGTACTCAGATCCTACACAATTAAGAAAAAGAAAAAAAACGTACCACTGTGCTTTTTTTATTTGTATTTGCACCAGTACACTGGTAAATACTCTGGACAGATATTATGTTCAGCCTGGCATCATAACATTAATTATTTGAAATCACAAAAACAGTTTGTACCTGATGTGTTCTGTTGCTAGTGTAGTAAAGATCTATTTAATAACATTTTTCCCACACAAATGGCAAACTTTTGTTGTGAGGCTGTTATTCTCTAGGTGAAATCGCTTGACATCCGGTCCTAATGTTGTTAGCTTTGAGTAGCTAGGTTGCACATGTGCGAATTTCATGTTAAGGACACACAAACATCCTCTCCTGAGGAAGACAGTGGGTTTTGATGCTTGGTCAAAGGAAATATTTGATAATAGTTAAGGAGTTAACCTGCCGACACAACTTGTATAGATTATTGGACGTTTCGCCTGGCCAGCTTCCCTTCCTAGTGCATCTGGACATTATTACAACTATTTCAATATGTGGGTAAATAGCATTGCACATCAGCAGAGGTTGCTACTGGTTTGGGCTAGAAGATTATACAAACCGGAATCAATCTCAAGAGTGGACTCTTATCATGTCTCAGCCTCTGTGCTGTGCTCAGAGGACGGCAGCAGCAAACCTGTGCTGAAGAGACGACGCGGAGTTTCAATAAACTCCTCCGGGGTCCAACACCAACCTGGGGAATCTGATGGATGGCACACACAGGAGAGGTCAGTTCATATTGAATGCTATTTTCTTTATCTATTATAATTGTGACTATTAAAAAAAACACCGTTATCTCTGAAATAATAATAATAATACAATAATTAAATCAAACATAAATACGTGTAATTATAAATGGGTAAAGTCCCATTAATAAATAAATAAATATTCAAACTGGACGTTTATAATTATTAGACTACTTTCATTTATTTCAGGGACATTTTATTTGAGTAATTCCACATTTATTACACAAATAATGGAAATAAAAATCTTGGAAATAAATTTGATGAGTCCCCTGTAATAAAAAAAGTGGAATTTTGACCTGTAATGAAAAAAAAGATGACCTTTGGAAAAATGCCCTTCACAAAATAAATGTGTATTTTTTTGTTTTGTTTAATAAATTATATTGGTTAGTTCTCAAGAAATTAAAGATATCATTTGAATGTTTTGATGTACTTATCTATAGTGAGTGAGTGTATTACCTACAGTACATGGCAGTCGGCACGCCCCCAGTTTGGAGAAACACACAGTAGTAGTAGTAGTAGTAGTAGTATCTGACACAGGAGCTAAGCAGTGTACTGCTGTGGGTGGGAAACAGTTGCAATGTTGCAGCCTTTACCTATGGGGAGCTGGATCCATTGTCTATGCTCTCTTAAGAATTTTAGCAAAAATAGCAATTTTGACCCTCAGAATACAGGAGTTGCTGCTGGCTGAAATAAGTGTTGCTGCTGCCTCAGTCCATAGAAGTTCATTGCTCTGCTTCCATATGGTTAGTGCTGTCTACTTATCCAAATTGTTACTTTGGATGAGTACCTCAAAAAACCCTACTTCAAACAATGTAAACCATCCCTTTCAGTAAGGTGGTGTTGCAGCTTTGAAATGACAAGTTTTCTAAGATCTTTCTATTTTACAGAACTGTGATAAAGGAGCCAAATCAGAGGAGCTGGGTTGACAGCAGAATGTCATCTGAACTCAGGAGACTGAGTATGGAGGATTTCCCTGAGGAGAAAAAAGAGAGGCTAGTGGGAGAGAAGAAGAAGGAGAGGTTTGGGGGAGAGAGGAAGGAGAGGTTTGGGGGAGAGAGGAAGGAGAGGTTTGGGGGAGAGAGGAAGGAGAGGTTTGTGGGAGAGAGGAAGGAGTGGCCGGTTGGAGAGAGGAATAAGTCATCAATGGACTCCAAAGCAGAGAAATATGAGGTTGTTTTTGGCATCGCTCCCTGTGTCCTGGCTCTCACTCAGGGTAGAAGGAAGCCCCGTAAACTGTTTGTAAAAGATGGCGAGGCCTCTCACAGGGCGTCTGTGTTAAATGTGTGTGAGGAGGCTCATCGGCGAGGAGTACAAATCCAGCGGGTCAGTAACAACGATCTGGACAAGATGTCTTCTGGGCGAGTGCATCAGGGAGTGTGTCTGCAGGCAAGTCCTCTGGGCTATCTCACTGAAGACAGAGACTCTAAACCCAACGCGGGGGACACTCCTCTCTGGCTCGTTCTGGAGAAAATTCAGGACCCCATGAATCTCGGTGCCATACTGCGTTCGGCGTATTTTCTCGGCGTGGACAGAGTTGTCAGCAGCCTTCATGATAGCTGCCCCTTGTCTCCAGTGGTCAGCAAGGCCAGCTCAGGCGCCATGGAGGTGATTGGGGTGTACGGATACGAAAACCTCGAGGACATGCTGAAGATGAAGATGGCGCAGGGCTGGCAGGTGGTGGGCACGGTGGGAGCTGAAGGGGAGGAGTCCCAGGTTCCTATCACCCTGTGTTCAGACTTTAAAGTGACCAAACCCACGGTGTTGTTGATGGGGGGTGAGGGGGAGGGACTGTCCCAGCAGCTGCTCTCTCTGTGCCAAACACTTCTAACCATCCCTGCCGGCAGAGAGCTGTTCCCGGGGATTGAGTCCCTCAACGTCTCTGTAGCTTCAGGCATTCTGCTCTACTCTCTGCTGTCCTCCAGGAGGCCCGCCAGATGAACAACACCTTCCATATCTGTCTGTACTCTATGCAAGATGCAAGGGAACTGAGAATGTTATGGAGGACAGAATGACATGTCGATGTATTTGAAATTGAACACATCACGGCAATCTTCAGAAATGGCTTTAAAGGATAAGGATGATCTTCTATAATGTTGGTTCTGTCAACACATTCCACAGTACTGTGGAAGTATCAGTGTATCTGGTTCTTATGTGCTATAGAACTCCATTGTTGTCCAAAAACTATTAAAAAAATATCAATGAGGCACACTGTTGTACTGGGTGATATGTTTTTGCAGTATGAACACACACTGTAGTTTTTCAATCCCACAAACACCGTCCTGCTGTCACACAAACGCAAAAACTCCACAGCTGAATGTAGTTCCCAGTAAATGAAACATTTCCTCTTGTTTCAGTAAAAACCGTAAAAACTGCAGTGACCAGCTGTTTCAGGAAATAACAGACCCTTTTTTTAAATATGAAATCATATTTGTGATTTTTCTTTAAAAACTACTGCAGGTTATAGAAGTGTGAGACTAAACTTTGCTTTTCAAAAGCAAGAAAAATATATATCTCTGGAACAATGTCATTTCTCTGACACTGTACTGCATGCTTTTTACATGCTGTACGTAAAACAATAAGGAGGTCTAAATAGATGAAATGTTATTTTTTAATAAAATATGACTTGATCTTATCAACTTGTTAGGGTTTGTGCTTGTTGTTGTGCTGTTTGAATCTTCTCCACACACACTATGCATATGCACTGCCAGGGCTGTATCTCACAAACATATCCATGTGTGCATGAAAACATTTAAAAAAGAAAATTAGCAGATACACACAACTGCTTTTGTATCAACTTAATTATATATTTACGTCAAATATTGAAAATGACATGACGTTTTTATTTCGAAAAAACAAATACCCTGTAATAAAAGTAACATCAAATACAATAAAAATAAAGTGAATAATGCGTTTACATCTTTGTTAATAAATACTATACAAATGTAATAAGGGCGTAGGAAAAATCCACCAAACACACTTAAGTCAGATTCTTATGCATTTTTAAACAAATAAGGAGTAAAAGTATCAGACATTAAAAGGTGTGGAAGCAGTGGATATACAGCATCAAATTCATCTTTTATTTTACCCCCATTATTACTTATTGCACCTTGACTAATGTATATACACTGAACAAAAATATAAACGCAACACTTTTGTTTTTGCTCCCATTTTTCATGAGATGAACTCAAAGATCTAAAACATTTTCTATATACACAAAATAACAATTTCTCTCAAATATTGTTCACAAATCTGAAAAAATCTGTGATAGTGAGCACTTCTCCTTTGCCGAGATAATCCATCCCACCTCACAGGTGTGGCATATCAAGATGCTGATTAGACAGCATGATTATTGCACAGGTGTGCCTTAGGCTGGCCATAATAAAAGGCCACTCTGAAACGTGCAGTTTTGCTTTATTATTGCGAGTGGCCCATGGTGGTGGTGGGGTTATGGTATGGGCAGGCGTATGTTATGGACGACGAACACAGGCCACTCGATTCACAACATTATCCTACCCCTAACCCTAATCCTACCCCTCACACGAGATACTGACTGGTTTTCGGACCCCCCCCGGACCCCCCCCAATAAAGCAAAACCGCACGTTTCAGAGTGGCCTTTTATTGTGGCCAGCCTAAGGCACACCTGTGCAATAATCATGCTGTCTAATCAGCATCTTGATATGCCACACCTGTGAGGTGGGATGGATTATCTCGGCAAAGGAGAAGTGCTCACTATCACAGATTTTTTCAGATTTGTGAACAATATTTGAGAGAAATGGTTATTTTGTGTATAGAAAATGTTTTAGATCTTTGAGTTCATCTCATGGAAAATGGGAGCAAAAACAAAAGTGTTGCATTTATATTTTTGTTCAGTGTATATATATATTGATGTGTCTTGAGTTTTGCGTCATTTATGATGAATAGTCATATTTGTTTATTTAAGTCTAATTATTTTTGTTGGCAAATCATTCAAAGTATTTATTTATGCAATATTGAATAAAACTGCTTTTTCATAATGAAACAAAAATAAAATATACCTTACACTCTCCACATGGCGGCAGTATGCATAAACAGAGCTCCCAACGAGCCCAGTTTGAGGACTGGGGAAGAAGAGTGGCGCACACAATGCACTGCACGGCTGACAAGGGTTGTGTCTCCCTGATTTTCACGATTAATTTCCAATTCCGTGGAAACTTGTGAAGGGGATGCAGCGGAGCCGATCGCTTTCTCTCCGTATGTATTTGGATTTAGTAAGAATAAGAAATCTTTGAGCGGAATCGTCGGCAAATGGTCCAACTAATCCACAAACATTGGATTACACCACAGTGAAGGCTGCATGAAGGAGCTGCCCAGCCCAACGGGGGCTTGGCCGACACCCTCGTTTATGGAAATCGACACCGAGGCTTTAATATTTGGGCCTTGATTTTTTTCCGTTTATGGTGAAGCTGGAACGACAGAAGGGTTGGGTGTTAAGAATCATTTTTCATGGACGATTGGTTGCAAAACAACCCCGTCCTGCTTCCTTTAACAAATATTGCTTGTGGCTAACAGCTGGATCAGCTAACGCTAGCGAGCCCGAATGCTAACGTTACGTCTTTCTTTTGATGTGAATTCAACCATTACTATCGGCCATCAACACATTTCGGCAATGGACATATTTGTTCTCATTTTTGCAGATTACAGGTTAGCTTTACAGTAAACTATCCGGCTTGTCAGTCTTTTCCAGACACGTTTTAAGAATATAGTTGTATTCATAGGTCACTGGCTAAATATATTGTCATGTATTGCCGTGTAAATGCTAATTAGCTGGAGTCAACACTGACCTAACGTTAGCCCGCATTACTGTAACTCAAACAGCATTTTACTCCTTTTTATATTGGGAGTAAATTGCAGGCGCTGTCAACAATAACATTTAACATTTAACATTAATACGAAATAATGTCACGGCCACTGTTGTGTTAATGTCGGATATCTGGGTTATTGGCCTTGCTAACGCTAACTAACTAGCTATCGTTTTTGCTAACTGGCAAATAAAATTGTCAGCAGAAAAAAAAAGAAATCCTACACGCAAGAGTTGCATGAGCAATAACAAGGTTTAAGTGATTTCCATTTCGAAATTTATCTAGAGACGATTTGGCCTGCTTTGTCCGCAGCACGAGTAACGTTGGTCTTTTTTTGTTTACATGCGTATAACTTAATGTCGGTTGGATTTCTTGCTAGCTAGCTAATGTTAGCCATCTATACAGCAATGTCCTGACATTTAAGTGTCTGTCGTGGATAGTTTTAAATACCCATGTGGGGCTAAGTTTACGTTCAGATTCATTGAAATGACACTCAAATTTCGCCGGAAGAAAGGCACTGATGCCGATAGACAGTTGTCAAAGGACGGTAAATAATAGCCACTGGTTCCATTAACGCCATTTTAACAGGGGCTCCCTGTGAGGGCCTGTCTGTGTGGTGGTGTTTTATTAGCGGTTCGGTGCCTTAGACCGGACCGGGACTTGATTAAAGTGCCTCTTGGTTTCTCACTGGAGTTACAAAAGGAGGTTTGCAAGATGGAGGGCCCGAGCCGAAGCACTGGATTTAGGCAGAGCCGACGGTCCCGTTCACAGCGCGACAGGGAGCGGCGGAGGAGGAGAGTGAACCTGGCCGACGAGCGGGCCACATCCCTGTCCTCGGGCTCCGACCGGGAGGCTTGTGGGACGAACACTGTGCTGGGTCCCGGCGGGAGAGAATGCCGACCTGGTTTTGGGAGACACAGGCCTCCACGCCGGAGGAAGAGAGAGTCTGTGTCCTGCGAGGAAGACATCATTGATGGCTTCGCTATCGCGAGCTTTGTCAGCTTGGAGGCACTGGAGGTAAATATGTCACTGCTGTCATTCACCAAACAACATCAACACATTGATTTAATACTCTTTAATGAGTTGTGGCAGTTGACACGATCATGTCCTTAATTAAATAATACATTGGCTTGTAAGATTGACTGTTTATCTATTTGTCTATTTTGTTGTTGTTGTTGTTATGGTTCTGGCACCAATTAAACAATAACATAAAGTAAACTTCCAGTTCTAAATATTCAGATGTTCAGATAAACAAACACTACCTAAACAAAGCATAAAAACAACAACAACACCACTTTATAGATATGATACATAACAAAAACACACCACCAGTCTGACATTATTACATTCTACTTACTAGGTTATGCTGTATTTCTTTCCAATGCTGTTAACTTAATGGAATGAAATTCCAGACTACCGGCCATATCTTAGGACTATTCTCAATACCTCCCTATCAATTAAGCCCTAATACACATTTTGATAATAGTACTTTTTTGCTATTTCATAATCCGAATACCTTTTATTCGTCAGACAGACCTGTTTTATGAGTGTTCTAGACAATTTAGCATAGCGGTGGTTTCTTGCACGGATTGACTACTTTCATTTAATGTCCCATCACGTCAAACCATGCATTCTTCCCTCCAGCTAAAGGTGTGACAAGGCTTCAGATATGAACTCCTCAACTCTTTGACACTATTAATTTGCCTGGAAAAAGCAATCCACTCAGGCAGGCCAACCCCAAACCCCAAGGCATCCCTCTGATGGGTCTGGAGAGGCCTTAATTATGCATGTCCTAATTCACTGAGGTGTTGAAGAGCTGCCAAATAGCTATTCAGACTAAGAACGAACAACACTAAACCACAAGAAATATTTGAACTGAGGTCTGCAGTTTTACGTGGGGTCTTAACTTAGTTTTAGTATAGGTTTATATGCACATTGTTAAAATACACAGAGTATATTTTTCAGTGTGTTCTTGTTTTTCTAAAGGGGATATTGGTTAAAAACACACCACAATAAAAGGCATTCAAGTTGTTTTTTAAGTGTCTTTGCTAACATTCTACAGAGCAATAGTTTTTTGATAGGTGGGTAAAGCTACTTCATCATTTGTTACCTCCAACTCTGATACAAAAAATATCCTTCTCCAAGTAAGACATTTATGAGGATGAAGATATAAGGACTGACTAGTTGAGTAAGAATGTGAGTGGGCCTTTGCTTTAAAGTAGGTGTGCTCGGGAATGCTTTTCATTCCTCACTTTCTTAGGTCCGATGTCAATCAATCATGTGGATCCTAAAATCGGCATTGTATCACCATACATTTATCTAATGCATGCATGGGGGACAATCACACTCTTATAAAGAGAACATAATCTC